ATGTGTGTGCTTGTTGTTTCTTTTCAGTCCGTTCGTCATATCGCATTCGAGCCTGGTCCTTGGATCTTGGGCTTGGCTGGCTTGCTGAGTTTGGCTAGGGACGACCTCGTACCCTTCTCTCTTGTTTGATCCTTCTTAGGATTCTTCTTTTCTCTTGATCCTCCTTGGGATTCTTTTGTTTCTTTGTTTCACCATCCGCTCGTCTTACCTGCCCATTTGGCCCGGTCCTTAGGATCCTGAGCTGGGCTCGGCCGCGATTATGATGGGAAACGGGTTTATCCCCTTTTGGGGATTCCTCAGCCCATGTGTGATAATATATATATATATATATATATATATATATATATATATATATATATATATATATATTATCACACATGGGCTTGTCTTTGTTCTGTCATCCGCTCGTCTTACTTGCCCATTTGGCCCGGTCCTTAGGATCCCGAGCTGGGTTTGGTCACGATTGTGACACAGAACGGGTTTATCCCCTTTGGAGATTCCCCGTTTGTTGGTCCCGGTTGTACTGGATACGGTCTAGGGAGGGTGAATAGACTGTATTAGTTTTTAACTTTTTCAAGCTAAGTACCAGATTTAACAGAATAGCCTGTTCTGTTGATAGAACAGACTGGCAGCGGATGACCTTCTGTTAGGGGAACATGACATGTTCTGCTGAACACAGAGACCAAGTCTTTGGAGTTAATCAATTCTAACTAAGTGCGATAAATAAATGGAGTAAGTAAATGACACCAGAGATTTTTATAGTGGTTCAAGGAACAACTCGTTCTTCTAATCAACTGTTCCACTAAGCTTGTAAAAACGTCCGTTTACAACGCCTTAGTCCAAGCACTTAAGAAGCTCTCCACGTCTTCTTCAAATGTATATGTCTCATAGGATGCACTTCCTGGCTTCCTTTAAGACTGGTCCTTTCGCTGAGCTTCCCGGAAGTATCACCACTTCACTGCTCCAGTTACTTGGACGTCCTTCTCGTTAGAGAAGAGTTTCTAGATGAAACAGGGGTTCCTCCGATTTGCTTCGGCACAAAAGATGTATTTGTTGACTTAAATGCGTTAAATGCGCGAACAGTTGACTTGACCAGTAGGACCCAGCAAGGTTGGTGGGTTAATATTTTGGGATAAAGTTATCCTGAAATAACCTGGAATGTCGGCCAATCATCAACTTTTACTCTTCAGGGTACGGGGTGCATTAAATGTGCATTTAATGCGCGTACTGTAGTTCTTTCGTTGAAGTCTTCTAGCCGTTGAAGAAATCTTTCGATGATTTCACCGGATGAAGTAGTATCAAGAGAATTCTCCAAGTGTCAGGCCTTCTGGCGTTTTCGACAGAAAGTCTCTCAAAGAAGGTCTTGAGTACTTCTGTTGGAAAAGCTATCAGAGGGTCCTTTAAGTCTTCTGTCAGATGCGAACTAACAGAGAGTTAAGAAGGTTTCTGTTGTAGTGATGTCCAACAGAGATCCAGAAGGTTTCTGTCTGAGTAAGAATCAACAGAGGATCAAAGGTCTTCTGTCAGGATAAAACCTATCAGAGGGTCTTCTGTCAGGAGATCTTCTGTAAGTCGACTAATCTAAGAAACTTTACAAGGAAAATTTCTAATAAAATAAATCTAAAGAGAAGGTACTCTAAAGTCCCATCTTCGGCGGATGACCACTGCCCTCCCTCCACAGTAACACCAGCCCCGCACCACCGTCACTACCCCAAACCATCGTCACTGCACCCCCACACCAATGTCACTCCAACAGTTGCTGCCACCGCTCTGACCAGCCACCGCACCCTAGCCCCCCAGGCCCCCGAACCCCAGGCCCACCACACCCAGCCTGTACAATCGCTCGCTGCATCATCCCAAGTCCCATCCCATCCTTTGCCCTGCAACAGCCCCACACCCACCACCCTCCCCAGCCCCCTCCGACCACCGCCAAAGAACACCATGGCTACCCACCGTCGGAGACCGCTACAGTTGGTCCCCTCCCCAACTGCCCAGTCACCCTCCTCTGCTCCCCTACCCCTCGCCAGCCCCAAATCCCTGCACTCGCCCCCTCTCCCATTCTCCCTGACATTATTCCGCAGCCCCCCTCCCAACCACGCATAGCCCTCCTATCCTCAGATCCCCTCCTCTCCCAGCCTCCCAAACCTCATCCCCTGCCCTCGCCACATTCAAACCCTATCCACCAGCTAGATTCTAGCCATCACCATCGCCTTTCACCGTCGTTGAATGAGAAGAAAGAAGGAGAAGAACGAGGACGATGAAGAAGGTCAGATCCGCCAGAAATGGATCTTCGTCTTGAAGAAGGGGATTGGATTTCGAGCGGCGGAGGGGGTAGAGTCGTCGTCTCCGCTATATTACCATTGTCGCCGAGTACTGACCATCATCGACTTCACCGCCCTCGCCGTCTGCACATATGATTGGAGGTGGAGGAGATTTGATTTGCGAAGATCTGTTCGTTTGCGTGGAGGAGATCTGATTTGCGTGAATCGGTGCAAGGGATTTGAGCGTGGAGGAATCTGATTTGCGTGAATCGAAGCCTGGTGCGAGCGAGGGATTTGAACAGATGAGTCACATTTTTTGAAAAAGATAAAATTGTCCTATATTTGAAATCTAAAAGGCTGTAAATAATAAATGGGTCATTTTTTCATTAATAATTAACTGATCATTCAGACCCTAGATTTATATACTACGGAGTATTAGTTTATTTTAACTTTAATTTTATGTGCAAACTGCAAATAAATCCAATTCCTCCATTCTGTTATGAAGACACCCCCAAAATATAATTTGAAATATTTTTAGGGTAGATAGAGTCTACATTTTTTTTACATAAATACGTTAACTTTATCATATTTTAATATAGCTCTATGAATAAGTGGTCAGATTTTAATAAGAATGTATTTGGTGTTTTTAGGTTAGAAATCTATAAAATCTACTAAAATTCATCATTTACATATTTAGATGAAAAATTACATACATAGTACTCCCTCCGTCCCTAATCTTTCTCCCTTTTCGGCTGGGCACATTTATTAAGATAGTGAGATTTGTGTGGTGGAGAGTTGTGCAGAGGAGAGAGAAATGTGTAAGAATGTGTAAAATGGTTGTGAACCACAAATTTTTTGCTAAAAAGGAGAAGAGGAGATAATTTTGGGACGGACGAAAAAGGAAAGTTTGAAGATAATTTAGAGACGGAGGGAGTATATATTACTAAAATAAGTTTTGTTTACAAAGATGTGGTGTAGTGACTATAAATAGTACTCCCGCCGTCCCTGAATTATCTTCAAACTTTCCTTTTTCGTCCGTCCCAAAATTATCTCCTCCTTCCCTTTTTGGCAAAGAATTTGTGGTTCACAATCATTCTTACACATTCTTACACATTTCTCTCTCCTCTGCACAACTCTCCACCACACAAAAACCACTATTTTAATAAGTGTGCCCAGCCGAAATGAGAGATAAAACAGGGACGGAGGGAGTAACTTGATTATAGTAATTTAGTATCAATTTTTATACTTAAATAACAATTAGACTTACTAAACTACAACAACTTGTAAATATTTCTATAAATAAGTTTAATTTCATTAACTGAGAAATTAACGGTCCTAAATCCTCTTTCCACACATTGCAAAATTCTTATCCATTTGTTGGTAGTCCAATCAATAGGTCAGATCTAGATTCAAACCTCAATCTAGATCTGTCATGTATATTATAGTTGTTATAGCATGAGATCAACATTTTATGCGCACGATATTCTCGTGTAGCAGGAGTGAAGCAAGTTTTGTGTAAATCGTAATACAAAAAAAGTATATAAAACCTGGTCGGTCTGATCCTGGTTTGGGGTTTTCCTGCATTTTTAGGCTTAAGCATTTTAAAAGAGGTATTACTCCATCTAAAGCAAAAAGGGATAGGGATGAGAGTTGGGAGGATTTAAAAACATAAAAAATGGAATGCATCAAACACAAATCTTCAAACATGTTGCATCAACCATTCTTGATGTACACACCCTTGTACACACCTTGTACACACCATGTTTGTGAAGCTTTTTTTTTGTCTGTGAATCTGGTTCACAGACAATATTTTGTTTGTGCAAAACATTGTCTGTGAATCGATGTTCACAGACAAAAAAAAAACTTTCACAGACATAGGTGTGTACAAAAGTGTGTACAAACATCATTTTTCTTTTACATTATCATTTCTTCAAACATTTAAAGCTCAACGCATAAGAAATTGTTTCTCATGATGATGCACCTAAATATATAATTGTACATCTTCATGTTAATTTCACTTCTATAGTTTATATAATAATCTTTAGTGAACATGTTGCAATGTATAATCATGATTATACTTCTAAAATGATCTAATATAATTATGAAATCAATCTCATACCACGCACGTGTAAAATGACTAGTTTAGTCATATGTCATACGGGGTCATAACCAGCTCGGCCGACTACAAGCAAAGCTTTACAGAAGTCATTTTTGATTTATAAATTTTCAGCATTTTCTGATTATTTCAATGGGCAACATGCCAACATGCACATTGTTAGTTATCAATTATGGAAATGAAATTAGTAGTCGTGTAAATAGATTTGGCCATAAAGAACACGGGTTAATCCCATTTTTTAGTCCTTACTTTTTTATTTTTCTTTCAACGCTACATGTAACTCTCAATATTTATTCCTATAAATGAGACAGAGGAAATGTTAATTATTTTTTCCCAAAGTGGATAAAGATGTCTCAATTAATGAAGATCAGAGTGTCACTCTATTGTTTTACTACTTTATTGATCACTTCAATGAAACTTTAAGAATAATGAAGAGAGTACGGTATTAGTACAAGTAGGGATTGGGGGTTGACAGAAATGAGGGGGACAAAGGGAGGGAGAATGGGAGTAGAAATGAAAGCCCACACCTGTGAACCCCTCACTTGTCCCTATCTCCAAAAAGCCTCTCCCTTTTTGATCTTTTTATAATCTTTCCCACCCCCTTTTCCACTCTCCAAATCAAACTAGACTTCTCACATACACTACTAGTCTACTACTACTGGTAGATGATATTCTGTCTTGGAAACTGTTAGAGCAGATTAATGTGTATTCAAGATTCATTCATTACTCCTGAAGTAGCTTTCAAGGGAAATATTTGTTGATTCCAACTTCAAAGTTGTTGACCTATCTGTTTCTTGGTCAGAATGTTTTGCTGCAGAAACCATTATCATCTCATCCTTCTTCTCCCCCTCTTCCTCCTTTGGCTTTCAAGCTTCACTCATCTCAGTTCACTTGCTCAAGGTAGTGGCTGAATCATTTCTATACCATGTTCACACTACATATAAGCATGGAAAACTAGCTGCTAGCATGCAGTTTAGGCCCTGTTTGTCTATGGAATACCATTTTCTGATCTCCTGGGAATCTTTGCCAAGAATTAAAAAACTTCTCTTTTTAAAAATACTTTCAAGAAACGGAGACCTAATTATTTTCTTTGTGTTAAATTAAACCATACCTTCTTGTCTATGTCTTTCAGGAAGAGAGATACCCAAACAGGAAAGACCTCATCTTGACGTGAGATATGAAGAAGAAATGAAGGTAATGATGAGATCTTTGATAGGGTCAAGGCCACCTAGATGTGAAGTGAGATGCGGCGGCAGGAAGTGTGATGGTGGTCACTGTGAAGCTGTTCAGGTCCCCATTGATGACCCCAAACACCCCCAGATCTCAGGAACAAATCACCACTTCATCACTGCTGATCTTCCTCCCCAAGTTATAGCATATTCATCAAGAGCAGATAGCTCAGAAAACTACAAGCCCATGTGTTGGAAGTGTAAATGTGGCAGTTATATTTTCAATCCATGAATGATGATGAAGTTATAGTTATCTTTAAGGTTCATTTTGATGTGTCCATTATGAAGGGTATATATAGAGCAGGTCCTTGAACTGAGGACACCATATCTGATATCTGTCTTTGAAAGACTACTCATCTGTCCAAAAACATTCCCAAGTATCAAAGTATGGAGTTTTCCTTCTTGGGATAACTGGATGAGGGATGGTGATGTATCATGGAGGCGGTATATTTGGTGTAATTTACCTATTTGTGATATACCGTATACAGAATGTTTTTATATTCCTTATTGGTTGTTTGATTACCTACCAACATTAATTAATATGGGAAAATCATTGCTGTGATCACACGAATAATACTCCTAAGATAGTAATGTACGTAGTAAAAGATTATGGTTTTTCTAAGGTATATTTTCACTTGAACTGAAATTATATAAACTGAATAAATTTTATTGCCTAAATTCGATCTGCTCTAACTCAATCTGGTCTGTTTAAGTCTGATTTGAATTGTCCAAAACTGAAACAATCTTTCGCAAAACAATCCCCAATCTTTATAGTTGAAAAGGATATGATATATTTGTGATATAGTTGCGCTAGGATAAATGAAAAATGATATAAATCACTTATTTATTAGCTTAAATGAAGCCAGTAGAATTGTTTTGTAAACACAAAAGGAAATCTGAAATTTATTATCAAAGAGAGGTAAATTAAAATAGAGAATATTACCCGAAATAGGACTAAAAAAGTTCGAAAATTCCAAAATAGGACTGCCATGTTTTTATTCCCGAAATAGGACTTATTACTGTCATGTTTTGGCAGTATCAGACTTCAATCATGGCAGTATTTTCTAAACATGGTAGTAATTACTTCTATTTTGGAAATAAGAAACATGACAGTAATATTTTGAAATTTTCAAACTGTTTTAGCCCTATTTCGGGAACTTTCCCATTAAAATATAATCATTGACATAAATATGACTATGTATCCATCGCAGCTTTCACATAAATTTCATCATGATCACTCTAATAGAAAATCAATAATTCTTGGTGTACACCTTTTTATACACATCGGTACACTCCTATGTCTGTGAGCGTTTTTTTTTGTCTGTGAATCCCAGTCCACAGACAAAAGTTGGTTTGTTTTGTCTGTGAAAAATTCTACAGACAAACCAAGCCAGTTTTTGTCTGTGGACTGAGATTCACAGACAAAAAAAACTCTCACAAACACGGAGGTGTACTGATGTGTATAAGAAGGTGTACAAAAGGAATTTTTGATAGAAAATATACTTGAGCGGCATTGTGATGGTGATAGTGAACATGTAATTTCACCATTATTGATTTATGGCTAAATGGTCAAATAGGTACATGAACTAACTTAAAGTGTTCAATTAGCCCCTTATTTAGGAGGTTTTGTCCGACCATCGCCAATTGGGGCGGTTCCCGATAGAATTTTTTGATGAAATTTTTTGAGCATATTTTTCATGAAGTGTAGTTTATCCATATCAAATTTCAGCTAAAAATAAAATCGGGAAAGCAGTCAAATGATTTTCCGAAATGTACTACGTTGTTTAACTGCGCAGTTATCTTCAAAAAATCTTTTGACTGCCTTCCCGGTTGAAATTTTAGCTGAAATTTGGTATGAGTAAACTAGAGTTAATGAAGAAGATGCTAAAAAACTTTCATCAAAAAATTTCACCGGGAACCGCCCCAGTTGACGACGGCCGAGCAGAACCTCCTATATAAGGGGCTAATTGAACACTTTAAGTTAGTTCATGTACCTATTTGACCCTTTAGCCTTGATTTATTATTACTATTTGTATTAAAAATCACATTTTTATCCATTGCTTTAATTATAACAATATATTTTTCAATTGTTAATAATATTGCATACACAATATATGCATTTCCAAAAGAATCTAATACTTTAAATGATTTAACTTTAAATAAATTTCATTTTTAATTGTTTGTACAAGTATGAAACCAATTCCAAAAATAATCTACATACCCGAGTATTTTACATTGACCACTTTCGATATATAAACTACGGTTTTCGCTCATGACATATTTCCGGTGAATAAAATCGTGGGAGAGGCATTGGAAAGTTGAATTGAAGACTCTTAAATAGTGGAGAAATAACCGTCAAATATCAAAAGTGGACAAAATGGAAGACATAGATTAAATATGAAATTGGCATAAAACTTATAGGACCAAAAGTGAAATTAATTCTTCACCTTTTTTATGAATCATTGTTATTTTTGTAACATTTTACATCATTTGCAATGGTGTCAAAGACTCATTTTTTGGCTTTGGAAATATGATGAAATATTGCAAAATGATTCACAAAATTAAACTGTCTGGGCTTCTTTGTTATGAAGCAGCAGTCAATCTATGCAATTTTCGATGCGATTTTCACTATGGTCATCCAGAAACACTCTCTCTGGTTTAGTGCCGGGGTAAGACTGCGTGCATCCAACCCCCTTACATCAACCATAGGTGGGAGCCTTTATACTTTTGCGGCATTGGGGTAATGATGATGATTGTTATTTCTTTAACAAACTTCTTACTCCCTCCGTCCCGTTGGAATGTTCCCATTTTGACCTATACACATATTAAGGAAATAAACTTACCAGGGGGTAAATTTTACTATTTTGACACTGTTTCGACACTGTTTGGCACTGTTTCGACACTGTTTGACACTGTTTTGCACTGTTTGACCCTGTTTTGATGTAAGATAACTTTCCATTTAGGGAAATGGGAACTTTCCAACTGGACATCCAAAAAAGGAAAGCGGGAACCTTCCAACGGGACGAAGGGAGTACTTTTTTAATTTGAAAAGATGAATTTCAAACCATCAATGCCACCAATTCAGATTAATTATTGAAAACTATATATTTATGACTAGAATAAAGATTATTTATAAATGTGAGACATCTAAGTGTAGATATTCTAGTGACTAATTATAATAACTTCTGTTTACCTTTTATACTTAATGGCCGTGTAACCCTTTGTCATATTTTTATAAACAAATTTTATTTTAGCAATAAATTTTGAAAAGCCTCTTAATTATTTATTGTGAAATACGGTAACTCTGAGAATAGCATGACATTCTTTAATCTTTCTTTTACCATGTTCTAAAATTTTGGGAATTAACATGGCCTTGAATATTCTCAAGTCCCAAGGTATGAGCTGTTATTATTGACTACAGAAAAAGAGAATTCTGGGATGACTTATTTTAACAGGATTCACACTGGTGGTTGAACATGACTTTTAACAGCATTGCAAAACTCTCAACATTCTACTTTTTTATCATTTAGTTAGTGGCAATTTTAAAATCAGGCAGCACATGTACTTGGTACTTGGTAGTTGGTACAGTCTATTGGGACTAATACAGAAATATTAAATAGCCTTGAAACTTGGAACACTGAAATTAAGACATTTTATTTTTACTAATGAGCGTACAAAATTCATGAAATTATCTCAATTTTATACCATGTTTAAGAATAGCACAACAAGAGCTCAATTGCCCAGAATAGTCAAGAATAAGGAAGCTCTAAAGTTTCAGCATAACTTGCTGAAATAAATTTTCTGGCCACTAATATCACAAGAACTAGATTCTAACTTCAAAGTTGAACCTTTACAAATCGTTTCAAACAGAAAGGGTAAAACTCCACATTGATTTTAAGCATTCTTCATCTTCACGTGTTGATGTGAATTCCATTGAAACAGCATCCATAGCATAGATGTTCCTGTATAACGGATCACCATTGGAACGAAGGATGATTAGACACAGAAACATGACTATATCATTACATTGCGTCAAGGCAACCTCTTTCAGAAACGATTACCTGCAAAGATGCCGACGGTTATAAGGTTTCTTAACTCCATGGTCTGATAAAGCAGAAATTCAGAGAGGAAATGGCCAAACGCATAGATGAAAGATAAGAAAGTTGCCAAATACAAAGGCCGGTTGTGAAGATTAAAAGCACAAAGATAACAAAGTGTGCAGGTCAATAGTGTCCACACTCCAAACGTCCTCCCATGAACTTCGCTCACTACAAATGAAAAATGATAAACAAAAATAGAATTACAAAATAGAACATGACTAAGGATATGAATACAAAAAATTAGTGTTTAACTTGTTTTAACAAATAAGGACAACAGCCGTTGTGTATTCTACTATTAACCGAAAAGAAAGAATATTAGTAGATGTCTCAATTGTAGTTACCTCTGCTAGAGGCATTACCACCAGCTAGCTACTGCACCACCGTATGGCAGTATGCCAGCGTAGTTGCCACCGGCAGTAGCAGTACTCCTATTGTAAAACCAACAGTACAATCATTCACCACATTTGCAGTCCTAGTTTGTATGATTTTATCTGTGTGTCTAATTACACGTTTTGAGAATATATATATATATATATTCTGTATATATTTGTAAGCCAATCATTTTTCACTACATTATCTGTAATTCCCATAAAAATAAATGACACACATAAGCTTCTATTAGGTAAGTGTTGCTGAACTGTAAGTCTGTAAATTAGAAAAAAATGCCCAATGAAATAGTGGGAAAATCGAAAATTAATACGGAGTACTTCATTTCCATAAGGACAAGTACTGCTTCAAAGTTGTATACCATCAGGATGGTTATAATTATAAAAGAAAGAGTGAAAAAGTAATCAATTATCACATTATAAATTTTACAGAGCAAGCTATGTTGCACCGAAACGCGAAAAGAATGAGGAAATGGGAAACGGTAAGCGTCAACTCTTGTTTAAAAAACACCTGTTTGAAGAGTTTCCTTAGAATTTCCGAAACAGAAACGTACTCTTTCCAGAGAGTTTCGTTGTTTCATAGATAGCAAGTCTTTGGTTCATGATTGTAAGATTATACTACGTATTACTTAGTAAGGTTAAATACTTGCATCATGAAAGATAATGTGAGAAATTATATACTTCGTATTTATCAACTCCAGACCTAATACAAGAATACATATTTTGCAGGAGAAAAGGAATATCAAAAGGTAATCTAGACCATAACTAAGTAACACAAGGTAACTGGATTTCCAAAATCATTTGTATAGTCTTATAAAGGTCAAATCTTTAAATTGAAATAAACTATGTTGGAATGATAAAACTCTAACTAGCCTAGAAGCACAAAAACTGTCACACCCAGTCTGGATCGCTAAAGCTTTCATTAACATAATTGCAGACATTGTGAATTAATGAGAGATATCAGTAAGAAAAATGGCGATCAAACCAG